GCGTGAAAATGAAAAAGGTTAAAGAAGGAGGGAGGAACTTCAACTTTCCTGGTACAAATTACATTGGGCACGTGTAAAAGGTGATGAGACAATGTTATAGACATTTTTTTAATTCGATGTCAAATCAAACAAGCAAAGTTTTTCCAAGTGGATTTCAAACTTACAATATGTTTAATCAAACAAGGAAAGACTGCCCAAGAATTGGATCGCCAACTTCAACTTTCCTCATCTGCATTTTAAATTTTAATATTTCTCTCCCTGTGGTTGCCCCACGCATACTTAGCCCTTGGAAATGTTTAGGATCTTGCAATGCTTGTAATTAACGACCCTATAGGGTCCCAGGTACAATAAATTATTGATTATTCTGATTGGCAGAAAGAAAACAAGTCATCTTTTCTTTCTTCTTTCGCACATTATTTTATTTCTTCATTTTCTTTTATAACTTTCCACGGGACTGCGGTTTGTACATTCTTTAACAGAAGGTTTATATGCTTTGTCTAATTGATAATTACTAGCTAGGTTTATTCTAAAATGTAACAGAAAATTTGGTAGTATATAAATATAAAACGCTTTCCTTTTATTTTAGATTCAAAAGCATCATTATGCTAGTCGTTATTACTCTTTCCGTTTCAATTTAAATGACACATTTCGTTTATCGAGAGTCAATTTGACTATATTTTAAAATTAAATTAAATTTCTTCAACGTAGTATTTTAAATTAAAATTTAGATATTTAAAAACTACACGAAAAGTACTATAAATTGCAATGTTTCTCTATGTCATATGATAATACGGTTTGACTCTCGATAAACGAAATGTGTAATCTAAATTGAAACAGATGGAGTAATAATTTTGGTTCGTTGACAGCTATGGAGAAAGTTATTAAGAAAACTGTGAACATTAACAAACTTAATCACTTGAGGTAAAAGAACTAAAAAAATGTTAATTAGTCTCATTAATCCGGGGTAGGTGAGATACTCACTCACCAACCAAGAATATTTTATTAGTATGTTATTTAAGTATATTATTATGGTCTTGATTAATTTGGTAAGCACTGAAACTGCATCATTCCGAACCTAGTACCAGCTTAGCAAGTCCTAATTCCGAACCAAAGCATACACTGTACACCAGACAAGGCAATTCTTTACCGAATCAATCTTTATTTTCTCAGGATCAAATTTAGAGGATCAACAATGTTCTCACTTTCTTTCAACGTGAATTCTTTATTTTTCATCAACAATAAACAATCAAGAAAAAACAAACGAAGTGAAAGTATGCTCTCTTAACGGCATCACTTTTCAAGATCCAAAATGAATAATTTATCAAAAGAACTTGATTCTTTATGGTTCGAAGAGAAATAAAATATGGCAATTTGTACAACAAACTACCTCCGCCCCCCCCCCCCCCCCCCCCTTTCCAGTTGCACATGTACAACTAATCATCTACTGTAGCATTGTTGACTTACATTGTATACACTATAGGTTGCAAAGCCAGAGAATATAGAATAAACTAATAATTCAATTCAAATAAAATAAAATAAAAGCGAGACGCTAACCGAAATTCAAAATTATGAGTAGTAGTTGGCAGCAGTTAGTCGTTCACTGTCCTTTAGTGGCAAGTAATTTTGTCACTTACGGCTTACCCCCCGAATGTAACATAATAATGAATTGAAAAACAAGATAAAGTGATGAGTCATGGGTTAGAAATTTAAAAACTAATATGGCTTTGGAAGTATATGAACAAAAGTTTCTGAATATAATGTATTTTTCCCATCCTTTTTTGCTGGAAAATCATGAAATAAACAAGCAGAATAACAATTTTTCTTCCCAGCACCCCAAAAAGTACATGCTAGCGACCTTATGCTATGTTATGTTTAAAAAATACGCAAATGGAAATTTAAAAAGAGGGAGATGTGCAGACAAGAACTGAATATGGAGTTGTCTTACATTCTCCATAACCTAATAATTGATCCCAAATTAAGATATTTTGCATGTTGACGAATTGTCAGGATGCGGCGAACAGACAAAATTGCCAAATTGGAACGGCAGTTAGGGATTATTTTGTTTAATTTAAAATCAAGAACCTCTGCTAGAGTTTATAGATTCTGATTGGATGCAGGATTAATATACTATTTAATTGTCATTTTAATTTAGAACTATTTAATCGATATGGAGTAAGTACCGAGTATGAGTAAGTTTTTTAGTGTTAGCATAATAACGTGATAATCAACGAGATGGAGGACCACGATGAAAGATTAAATGGAATGATACAAAATGAAATAAACTTAATTTAGTCATGTCATAAAGGTTACTAATTGTTTAAAGGAGAATTAAATGAAGATATTGAGCGAAAAGAATTTGATTATTTAAGTAAAAGGAAAAAGTGAATTTGGCCAGTTCAAAGAGTGAGGGGACCTCACTGATTAAAGGGGTTTAGTCCTTCCTGATTCCAAAGGTCGGTCATTGTTATCTGTTGGCCGTTAGGAAGTGAAGAGTCAGAAATAAAGTTTTCTTTAATAATCAAGTTGCTGCAGACAAAAGGCAAAAGGTCAATTTTTCTTTTTCTTTTGATACTAGTACTACTGCTCCTATTCCACTTGCATACTCGCACGTTCATTTATTGAAGTGACCTTTGCATATATAATGCTATTGAATACACCTAAACTACCAAATCTTGAATTTCAGTTGGTGTTCTTTTTGCAAGTTATATGGATGAAATGTAGCAAATAATGTGTTCATCTCCTTCTCTAGTATACACATGGCCACTCCCACCCCGAAAGATTGAGAAAAGAAAGTTATACACCTCAGTACTTGGGAATTTGACTCCAGTAGTTGAATTCCGGGGGGGGGGGGGGGGGGGGTTTAACAAAATAAAAGGAACTTCAATAATTGAAAATTATAGCTAGCTTTACCAGCTTTTGAAGTAACCCCAACAATGCAAATAGAAATCAACAAAGCAGTGCCTAACCTAAGCAGCCGGCTATGGAGTGGGGCATCCATTTATTTTTATTACGCCCACGACCACATGCGACCAAAGTTTCGGAATGCACAGCCACAATAGTTAGTACGATGGTTGTGTTTGGTAACGAAGGAAGTCATTTTTCTAGGAAAATGTTTTTCTTTTCCTTGAAAATATTTTTAGATGTTTGGTTGACGAGAGGACAATATTTTTCAACAAAAGAATATGCATCAATAATAGTAATTAGCATATGAGAATTTTTTTATAAAGTTTTGAGTGATAAAAGTTAATAATAATGTTTAAGTATTAGCTGAAATAAATAAAGAAGAAAAATAGTTTCCGCCCCAATAAGTAAGGAAGTCATTTTTCCCCACTGAAAAAAATACTTTTCTTGGAAAATGACTTACCCCATACCAAATACCAGAAAATAGCTTCTCTCGTACCCAACACATCATAAAAATATTTATTTTGTGTTGAAATCAACCACCACGTTTCCTAGTTTGTTTTTCTATTCTTTTTTTTGTGGTTTAGGAATTGTATTATTTTAAGTAAATGTAATGTGGGTGTGGAAACAGGAAGTAGAAAGCGAAATCACACAATACTTTTGCTGGATCTTATTCTCCTTAAACATTTCTAAGCACTACAACAAAGCCACCGAACTCTTAACAATATGTCTGGATTCTAAAAGAGGAAGAGCACATTTTATTTTCCTTATGCAAGAGGTTGACGATTTACTTCTGGTTGTCGGAGTTGGGACGAAAGTAACTTTAAATGTTTTCCATTTCCATACAGTTTTCGGCGGATTGGAGAAAATTGATGTGAGAGACAGCAATCAATGGTATAAGAGAGGGTTCCATTGGAACAATTATTTATTTCAGTTCAAGGTTCCTCATCTCTATTTTCTTCTGAAATAGAATAGAAAAACGGAGTGTGTTGGAGAAATGTCAAGAAGATATTGGAACATAAATAACAACAGATGAAACGACACAAATTATCACCTGAATATCAAGGAAAGCCAGAAGCGTCCCGCCGATCATGTGACATTATTTCATTTACTTAACGCTACTTCAATTAAACTGAAAAACTGAAATTCATGACGCATTGGCTAATTCCTAAACAGCAACTCTTTACGGTGGCTACCTGGTGTCATGTCTACTTCATTGACAGTGAATTAGTACTATAGCTATGGATTGGGCCACCGAAGGCCATCCTATATAGCCCAAATTATGCGAGACCCAATTTTTACTCCTTCCAATACTAGTACTTCTCCATTATATTCTCCACCAAGTACAAAAGTAAACATTCGTGCTCACATGTTCACTAACAAATACTCCATCCCAAAATGCTTGTTCCGAATATGAAATATAATCCCAATGGTTAATGTCATGTTTAAGACAACCTTTTTGTAACCCTCTATGTAATAGGAGTAGTATAAATAGAGAACACACCTGGAAGCTGGAAGAAATAAGAAAAGCTCTCCTCAGCTTTCATCTCTGATATTGTTACTTTTTAGCTTGATCTCTTAACAGTTCTCCTTTTCTTTTCATATTGTCTAAAAATTACCCAATTCTTCACATAAAAAGTTCTAATACGCTTTAAATACTACAGAAATTTTAAACATCCTCGTGTACTCTTCTTATGGAAGATTATCACATTGGCACAAAGGTCACTAAATTCTCTGGTGGTTGAAATTGAGACACGCCATTAAGGAAGAAGCCGGCGCACTACAGGCTAAACCGCTAAAGAGTATCTCATGTTAGTTTATGGGTACTTTTGAGATATCACCCGGAAGGATTCATAAGAAAACATGAACTAGCATCAAGTTAGAAGTAACTTTTGAGAATGTGTATAGGAAGAGATGAATAATCATTTCTGCGTCCTCCTAAATCGTATGAACAAACTAGTAAGAAGCATAACAGATGGCTTTTTTGGTTTTCTAGTCATTCACGATATAGTATCCTAAATATAAACAGCTCTATCAGAAAGAACAGATATATACAATGCGAAAAAAAAAACAGAACAGTTGAAAGACAAGAAACAAAGTAGAGAAGATATATCAAGAGTTTGATATGATTCAATTTCGATAATGTTTTTAATTTGTTGTGTGAGGGGGTGAAGTCATTTGTTAATCAGGGCATAGGGCAACTATGAGGTGAGCAGGGCAGCACAAGAAGAAAGCACGCATAACTTTCCGAAATGAAGAGAAACCACAGGAAACAATCTTTGTCAGGATAAAAGTTAACAGTCCAAACGAATTCATTCACACCTGATTGAAAAGTGGAGTTCCCTTTGTCATCAGAGGAAAACCAGAAAGAATTATCAATTTCTTCAAAATAATCAGCAGGGAAGCACCTGTTCAAAGTTGAGTAGACTACAGTCCAGCACTGAAAAGGTACTGGAGTGATGTTGCTTCAGCATCGAATCCACTAGATTTCAGTGTCAAAAAGCCGAATAGTAACATTTGAAACCATTCTACGAGCAAAAGGAATATAACTTAAACTGTACCTGGAAACCAGACAATATCAGCAAAATGTTAAGGATAACTCTTGTTGGTCTTGAGTAGTTCCCAAAAAAAAAATTATTTCCTGAACAATTATTTTTCTTAATTGTTATTTTCTTCTATTTTCAGAAAAGGGATAATGTGCATATATCTGTTAACACAAAAACATTACCTATTCAAGACCACTTTCTATCAAGCGTATTTGAATCACCTAAAACCACTTTTGTCTCAAGTAGGACTTACAAAATCAAGTAAGTGGAGTATACTGAATACAAATATGTGTGCAGAGGGAGAGGAGGGATGGACCGGTATGTGAAATGGGTGCCAGTGTACATATGAGATGTAGAAGGATGAATTCATTCTCTGGTTGAAGCAGCTTCACTACGAGTTGGGTTTGGGCATCAGTGGTTGAATACAGTAGGTAAGTTAGTTTCAACTACCAAAATGGCAAAATTAGCTGATACAACCCTTGTACCTATTATTTCTATGCTGAGACTGTTTAATTATGCTTGATAATGGTGATTTGGATAAAGATGAAATAGCAGGGAGCAGTATAGCCAGCCAAGAGTTCTGTCCATCTTTTTTGGGTTACAAAATAATAGACATTGGGAAGATGTCTAAGGATCATTTTGATTTTTGTCAAAATCTTTTCTGAAGTGCAATATCCTTTGGATATAGGAAAAAAAAAGGGGGAAATGAAGGAGATACTTTCACTTGTTTGGTAACAATAAAGAATGTAGCTTCTATTGTGGACACAAGTGATTGCATCTTTATTAAGGACTCAAATTGGTGCATCTTTTGGTCCCCATGGCCCCAAGTTCTTGAGGAAGCAATCTCTGTTCACAAAAAAACACTGCATAAATGTAGCCTCGAAACAGAGGTACATCTTCTCTTTAACTTGCACGTTCCACTGCAACAGTTCCTTCCCGCCATATTTCCATTATCACTACCCTCTCACTTTTAAAGCATTATCTCTTTGGTCAAAAGCAATATTCAGGATTTATTTACCAAAAATATATATATTCAGGAATTGGTGAAAATCCAGAAAAGATGGAAAACATTGAGAATTCTGAGTACTTAGAGCAGAGAATATGCAACTATACATACTAGAAGTGTTGAATTTGTCTGAACTATTCCGTCAGGAAACTGATAAAAGGATAAGAGCCGCTTTGGTTATCCAAATATAGTGGCATGCACATATCCAATTGACCAGATTTTAATGAATTTTATTTTTTTCTGGATAAAAGTGCAATAATGAACATTCCCTACAAGATCACTGAGAACACCTCAATCTTCAATGAGTTGAAAGCTGAGATTGAAAATTAACAGATGAATCTGAATACTTATGATTTACTTGCATGTTCTAAGGAAACCTAATCATGGAATCTCAACATTGTTAAGCAGCACCTCTAACCATCTAAATCTCCAGTTTGCCATTTGTCGACAACAGGTGGCCTAGACTGCTACAATCGTTGAAACAAAGGAAAAGAAACCCCACTGACGTCCTCCCTTTGATATGTAAGTGCTCCTAACATACCACCTCCAATATCTCTGTTGTCTTACCTATTTCAGCATAAAAACCACCCAAATATGGATGCCAAGAAATCACAGATGTAGACCCTTGTTAACTCTTTCAAATAATAACTAGTTTGGGGTCAACATGACATACGTATGGCAGGTTTTGGAACCAAAAGTTGTTGAAAGAGCATATATTAAATGACTGAAAAGATAAAATAAGGTATTCTAATAACTTGAAGTCGTGGGGTAACTTCAATGGAGATGTTGAGCAGATCTGAGTGCCACCTTCGCATTATCCGATGCATGCTTACACATACCATGTACTATTATGATCATGATGAGATGCTTTTAAAAACAATCCAGCTTTTAGTGATTCTTTTGACCCAAATTTGGTCGGCAAGCGACCAGAGAAGTTCTATAAACCACAAATGAGACATTTGCTAATACATATTTTCTTAATTCCTTATTGTAATTTATGCAATTAAATTTGAATTCCAACTTTACATTTAAGATGGAACAACATTACTTTTTCGTTACACTAGAACCCCGTTATCTCCGTTCCTACTTATGGCTAAAATATAACAAGGTTAAAAAAGATATAGATTGTTGGAAGACAGTACATGTAAGAAAAACTATGCAAGATAGATAAAGGAGAAAAGCAACTGACCAGATAAGGGCACATATCTCGCATATGATTGCAAGTAGTGTCAAAATCTTACTGTGGATCTGCAGAAATACATAAATAATAAACAGAAGAAAGATTGTAGTTCAGGTAACACGTAGCATAACAAAGTAGAGTGATTAGTAATATCTATCTTTTATACAAAAAAAAGTCAGGCCACAGGAAGCAGCAACAAGACAGTGACAACAACAACAACAACGACCCGGTGGAATCCCACAAGTGGGGAACAACAGGACAGTAAAAGGGACATAAATGTTTCGCAGCACACTACAAGAAAATAATGCATTTTATGGTCAAGTTTTAAACATCACCACGTTAAAACTACTATTAAGCAAAATTTATCTTGCTAACTCAGTCATCTTCTCCTCATATCAAGAGGGAGGGTTGCTTGTAAAACTGAGACTTAAGGGTAAGTTTTACAAAGTAGTGGTTAGAACGACCATGTTGTATGGGGTAGAGTATTGGCCTGTCAAGAAGTCGCATGTCCAGAAAATGGAAGTAGCTGAGATAAGGATGTTGAGATGGATGTGTGGACATACCAGGTTAGATAAGATTAGGAATGAAGTTATTCGGGATAAGGTGGGAGTGGCCCCCTTGGAGGATAAGATGCAGGAGCCGAGGTTGCGATGGTTCGGGCATGTTAAGAGGAGAAGCATAGAAGCCCCAATTAGGAGGTGTGAGAGTTTAACCTTGGTGGGTATGAGGAGGGGTAGAGGTAGGCCAAAGAAGTCTTTGGGAGAGGTGATTAGGCAGGATATGGCGCAACTGGAGCTTACTGAGGACATGACTCTTGATAGCAGGGTGTGAATGTCGAGGATTAGGGTAGAAGGTTAGTGGGTAGTCGAACGCTTCCGTTTGTCTTCTTCAGTTCGACAACATCAGTGTTAGTTTGTTATCCCTTTATTCTTAGATTGTTGTTACTACCGTTTAATTGCTACCTTGGCTTCAGCCCTCGTTTTATCTTGTTGTTGTTTATACTTGTTGTCATTACTTTTTTTTATGCCAAGGGTCTTCCGGAAACAGTCTCTCTGCCCTCCAGGGTAGAGGTAAGGTTGCGTACATCTCACCCTCCCCAGACCCCACTTGTGGAAATTCACTAGGTTTGTTGTTGTTGTTCAATTTATTAGATATCTTACCCTCATGCGGAATGGGGGGAAGATGACCATTACTTCAGCACGTCTCTTATCTATCTAAGAGAAAACGATATTGGGACGCAGAATGAATTCTTCACATTGGATTTTAACAACCTTATATTTACCTCCAACTACAACTTCCTCGTAGAAAGAAGGAACTCCTACAGGATAGCCTTTGCCTTGGGAAGGAGAGTGGGCAAGGAAGAAGATATTTGCGGTGCAGTAATATATGAATTGTTTCGTATTTTCTTCCTTCAACAAGAAAGAGAGCAGCTGATTTACGACATGCCCAAAAAGGGTGAGTGCAAAAATGGAAGAAACAAGTACTGGACTTTCCTAATATATCACAGGAAGTGAATTCTAAAATAAAAACCATCATATGTTACTAAACTAGTACTATTATTTAGGAAGCGGATCACTCTAATAGACATCACACTATATACTCAGACACTTACCACCAGCGCACAAATGAGAGCCAAAACAACACATCCCACATAAACGGCTGTGGCATAGACACGAACAGGATCCATCATCATTGATATTTGCTGCACAGGTCCAATGAGAAAAGCTGTGCTGCCGTGAGAATATCCAAGTTCAAAACACAGAAAGCGTAAGATGAATGAAATCCAAACACATGGCTGGTATCCAACAATATAAATCTATCCCAGATACTGAAAGGCTAGTATAATAATTGAATGGTTAATCGCTTCTAACAATTCAAAGTTCCATATTTTCTATACCCAAGCAGATTGTGGCATACCTCCCAATAGCCAACATGTTGCCAAAAGTAAACAACAGGGCAAACTTGATGGGCTTGACGAAAACAATCAAAGACTGCAGGCAAAAACAAAATAAAGGGCAAAACAATAAACAGCTGAAGAGATTGTTATTATAAAAAGCATTTGTCACACAACTACTTCCTCCGTTAAGAAGGAAATGAGGCCCTGTGGTCTTTAAGAAGGTATAATATATGTATGGTTATAAAAACTTCTATGTTAAAATGGAAAGTGCAAAGTTAATTGTTTACAAATATAGATGTGTCATTCTTTTTTGGTACCGACTCATAATAGAATAGTCACATAAATTAGAACTGAGAGAAAAATGTTTGATTACAGACACTGAGTAGGTGGTCATACCAGGAACATACAAACCAAGCCGGCGAGCAGGCAGGCAGCGAAACCATAGACTCTCTGCACCCAATCAAAAACCAAAAAGTCAAGATAAATCAATTTGGGCCTTTAGAAAAGAAAAATATGGATCCTGTACAAGAGCAGTGAAATTTTGAGGGAAATAATGTATGAAATATAGTACCTGTAAAGGGGAAAGAGAGCAAAGCCCTTCTTGTTCACCGAACAGATTATCTTGTTGCTCTTCATTGTCCCCCAAAATGGATTCGCTTAGCTTCCACATTTTATTGAGAATTGGGGTTTAGTCAAATGATCATCAATACCTTACAATCTCCCAGATGAAGCACAAGGTCGTTTACTTGAAAATCGTGGCTTTAAGGACAAAGGTGTCAGCGTTCACTTTGGTGGATTAACTTGGTAAATCATAATTTAGTGCTATGTTCAAGTGAGCTTTTTTTTTTTTTTTTTTGGGTCACTTTGGGGTCCGACTATCCAATTTCCGAAAGTCTCACATTGGAGTAAAAACTAAAAGGTCTCTTGATTAAGGACAACTTCATATTTAGAATTTTAAATTCAAAGAAATTTGATTAAAACGAAAATTTTGAGAAGTACTTATTTTTTTTTGGGATAATTATGGTATCTGGGCCAGTTTGCACGTATTTTGATTAATTTCACAGGATATCTGTCATATTCCACCAGTAACAAGTATAGCATAACTTTACCTACCAAGGTATAGACATATAGAAAAAAATAATTTACTATAACACGCAAAATCATATCTTTTAAAAATATTATTTATGTTATTTTTACGATGTTTGTTCTCATTAAAGTACATACTCAACGCATATATTTATAAACTATACATGTATAAGCAATTACCTAAAGACACAAATGCCCTCAAAATAAATCTTTACATAACATGAATAATGCATTATGATTCATTGTATAAAAATCCAGTTATTATTTACGGCATAAACAATCTATTCATTATAATCCTCGCATAACTAAGGTCTCGTTATTAATACGTTCAAATCTAATATACATCTGAATATTAAAGTGTGTCTTAAGATTAGGATATCTAAATATGAATATTTAAGATATTGTAATAAGATATGTATACGAAGTAATTATTTACCCGTAAAACAGTACAGTTTAATTGGTAACGTGAATTATAGACAAGCGAATCGATTTGATCCCAAAATGATAAATAAATTAAACAAAAATCAAGACTTAGCATTGAAATCAAGATAAAACAACGGATAGCTTTGGTTCCGAAAGCAGAGCTTCCAAAGGCAATAACAGTAATACCAATAAACAAGAAATAAAGTGTTATTGAGCTTAGAAGAATGTGTAGCGTACGTTTGTCAGAAAATTCGTGTTTTACAATAACTGTTGAAATCACTATTTATAGTTGTACCTAGGGAACAACATCCTAGGATCAATCTCATCTTAAATGACAATTATGGGGGCGATTGAAGAATGTGTAATGACAGGCTATGAATGCCATAATTCTCTATAATGGACTGTGTATTTAATATTGCAGAATATTTTTCATTGAATGCTATCGGGTGGCAGGCATTCATTTATTTTTATTAGCAATATTCCCTTCGGGGGCTCTCTGGTACTAACCGAAGTTGTTGCCCCCGATCTTGGTTTCCACCTGTCTCACTTTTCGTCTGTCTCCAGTTTCACGTGTCACTCTAGTATGCGAGTATTTAATATGAACCGATTTTATCCTATATAAATAGCCTCCCTGCTTTCCGGTGGCACGTCCTTGTGTCATCAAGAAGTTGGTGGAGATACCTTTCTTGGCGGAAAATTTTCTGACGCCCTCTGAAATGTTTCCGATGCTTGATTAGACGCACGTCTCTCTGTTTTAATACCCCGAACACGCGTCATTTTACGATTTAGCAATACTTTTGCCGGTTCTCGAAGTAATCATGGCCACAATTTTAATTGCCTATTCCTTTACTTATACGCTTCATCCTTCTTCTTTTACATTTCACAATCCTTCAAAGCTCTCTCAACTTCTTTGCATCCAACTTTTCCTAGCTTTCACTACTCTTTAATCTTCTTCTTCAAATAACTCTTCTTTTCATCTACTAACCATGGCTTCTTCTTCTAAAACCTCAAACTCTTCAAAAAAATAAAGAAAGCATTGATGATGATGCTCCTTCTATGGTGAGCATTCTTATCCCCAGAAGGCTTAATATAACCAAGGACTTTGAAGAAAATTTCCCTTCTGCTAACTCCTGCACATGAGCTGTTGGTGTATACCCTTCTACCATCCATCATTTTAGCATTCCTGCCGTGAAGGAAAACTGTGATTTCCATGATTTGAACATCATCACTCCCGATCTGGAGGAGCGGGTAACCTTCCCTAAGAAGGGTTTTACGTACGTGTAAACGTACCCCTTCACTTTGGCCCCGTTCTCATTGAGCGGGGGACTTGACCCCGTAATCTTGGAGTTTTGCTTCCGCTATCAAGTTTGTTTGGCACATGTGAGCTCTTCTGTGTGGCGGACGGTAGCCTGTCTTTGGCGATTATGCCAGGAGAGGGGGGAAGGGCTCTCCTTGGCTCGAATGATGAACCTTTATTCCCCCAAGATTTTCCGTGGGGTAATGATAAACGTTAGCAAACGTGGTCACCATACTTTGCTCACTAGCATGGACGACGACAACGACCATGGATAGATGAAGCGGTTCGTTGTAGTTGCCACCATAGATATCATCCCGGCCACAACTCCATCCTTTTCCTGATTCGTGGACTCGTATACGTAAGTTCAACATATGTCTTTTCTCTGGTTAAAGATTGTTTCATGATATTACTGATCCTTCTCATTTTATTATTTCAGCAACTCGGTGGACACCATCAAAAGTTGAAGGTTTGGACCAATGGGTCCAGAAGATTTTGGATGTTACTACACCTGAGAACCGCCGGTGAAAAGAACTAGCCCTCAAATACGGGTGGAAGGCCAAAAATCATAGTAAGTTGATTCTCGAACTAATCTTGTTTTCACCTTGCGTATAAGAAAACTGGCTAACTTCTCTTTTTGTTGACTTCAGGTATTTCGCATGGCTCTGTTACCGTCCTTGAGGAGGACGTTTTGGCTGATATCGTAGATGCAACGAGGTTGCTGCATGAGTCCTTCGCCTGTACGGGTGTCATCGGACCTGTTTCCGGGGCAGGTGCTACCTATTAGAGCCCCCGGCCAGAGAACAAGCAACAAAAAAGTTGACGTTCCTCTACGGTCGAGGGTAAAAATAAAAGGGTGAAGAACTCCACGCCCGAGCCAACCACCGCCACTGTGGTAATTTATGATGATGGGGGAGTTAGTGATGAAGAGGCTTCCCTACAGAGGAGACGACGACCTTCATCGGCTCAACAAAATGATCATTCTGAAGAGTTAATAACACCAACCGATAATGACGTCCAAGCGCTCTAGGGAGAGTGTGATATAGTGAAAGATGCTAATTCTCGTTTCCGAGCCCCAATCGCTGCTCTTGGTACTGTGAGGATGGGTACCCGGCCTCTTTTGTCTTTGGTTGATGAGCAACTAATATCTAGCACTGCTTTTGCTGCAGCTGCTTCTCAACCCATAACTTCATCAGTTTCATCTCCTTCTTCGCCACCAACAACTGCTACATCATCTCCACCTGCTGCAGATACCCGATAGGAGGATGTCCATCCTCCCCAGTCCATGGGAATTTGGGGTATAACTATTCACCCCCTTCTACAGATCCCCAGAGGAGAAAGAATGTCTCCCTCTCGGTTTCCACCTAGTGCCATCTGTTGTCCCGGTCGGTGGAACTCGCCAATTACCTGAAGCCTCTGGCTTCATAGAAAGATAAGAATAAAATACATTATCTCTCGAGGGAGTTTATGATAAAAAATTCCATGTACAATGCAACAACGATACAATATTTGTTCCCTTTACTATTTCTTCTAATTTCGCTATGACATGATTTTTGATTTGAACTTTTGCTTTATAGGATAACTTCCTTTCTTCCGAGGGCCTTCATAGGTTGATCCTTGAAAGAGATATACTCACATCTGAGTGGGATCAGCTGTTGGACGAGCGAGAGCAAATTGTTGCTCGTCTCCCTGTACTAAAAGCACAAGCTGCTGAAGCCATTGAGTTGGAGTCCCAATTACAGCAAAGTGAACAAGAGGTGGTGACCCTTAGCCAAGAGGCTGACCTATTAAGGGTACAATTTCAAGAGGCTACGGTAAAGTGGTTTGAGGTCCAGAATGTTGTTCTTGCTGCTGCCGAGCATGAGGCTGCCTGTACTGAAAGACTAAATAATTTGGAGGCAGCCTTGAACTCCAAAGCTGAAGAGGGTGATACTACTGAGGAGAAGTATGCCCGGATGGAAGATAAGTATAGGAAGGTCATGGAGAACAATAAAGTTTAAAACTCCAGTATTCGTGACCTTTACGTCAGCCTTCAGGCCACTAGATCCGAGTGGAATAACCTTTCGATCGAGGTTGAATAGCTTAATGAAGAGCTCCAGTGCCGAACGACTTCCCTCATTGTTGAAAAAAATATATTCTATGTATGGCATGAGGAGAAAAACTTTCGAAGAGGCCAAAGTGGGCGTCATTGACTTTGATGCCGAGATCGCCAAGGCCCATAAGCTGGAGTCCACTGCCAGAAGGGGTCTCCCGGTCTAACCTGATGCATTTGACTCTTCTGATTACGGTTCCGAGTTCTCGAGAACTGAGGAAGAATTTGAAAGGGATGATGATGAAGGTAAAGATCTTGATCCGGCGGCATATCCACCTACTTCTCTAAGGGCCGCAGACGCTTCTCTTCCCCCGGGTTCTGGGGATGCAGTAGTTTAGTTTTTTGCTTTCTTTCCTTTTTGTTTTTCATTTCATACTTTTGTACTTGTGCTACTTGCCACATTTGTTATATAAAAGTGATTTTTTATTTAAGTATTGCTCAAAGTTTTCCCTTTGCGTCGAGTTATGCAAGGCTTCGGGTGAGTTTATTTCCTGATAGTATTTGGATTTCGAGCATGAATTCTTCCGGAACCAACCCTTTACTGTGAGGGTTTCATAAGAGAGAGCCCTCTTATGTTTACGGTGCTCTTGAAGAGGACGTCTCATGTTCATCCCGACACTAGGATTTGAAGTACTTGATTAACTTTCAAATGATAAAATTAATTCATCGTTCGGACAAGAAACGAGATAAAAATAAAAGGATTTTACTTTATTCCTTCCATTTTCAAAAGTACATAAGCATTCGTTATGCTGAAAAGAAATTGCCATTAATTATGGCTAATTTGTACAACTTATTTCTATAGAGCTGGCCGCACAGTCCCCGGTCTCGATGATGTATCTTTGTTCCCGAATTTTGTAGTCCCGGTTTATGTGGCGGTCATGTTTTCATATTCTCATATCATTCCCCCCTCCCTGTGTTCGAATGTGAATTTGAGCAATAAAAGCCTTGCTCCTTTGAAGATCCCACTAG